TGAAGATGAAGATGAAGATGAAGATGAAGATGAAGATGAAGATGAAGATGAAGATGAAGATGAAGATGAAGATGAAGATGAAGATGAAGATGAAATGAGATGATGTTGTAATGCAAATTTTTTCTAAACTTGAAATGCATATGATGGCGAAGGTTTAATATTAAGAATCGGTATCGAGTACCGAAAAGGAAGTATTGGGTACCGAAAATTCAGCACATCACTATACAGGAGTTTTATTTGCCGCTCTAAGTTGTCAACTCTACGATGACGTCACGCCAAAATTACTCTCACGAATTCTGCTGCCATCGGCGCAATCTTGTATTCCACCATTCTTGAATCGAGCCAATGTAAACAACATAGAATTGGTTTTATTCCCTTCGTCCTCAACTGTTACGGTTGGCTCTGCTGTTAATTCCTCTCCACCTACTGCCTGCAGGGATTCTGTTTCTACTGCTGTCAATAATACTGTGAATGCGACTTTGACGCCGTGTGTTATCTCTACGCCACTGATGGGCACCGCCTTTCCCGCGGGAAAAGCGCTTTTAAACGTGCCATACATTTTGTATAGGCGCGTATTGAGTAAAAGCTCTCTCTGCACATCAGTGCTCTACGCCTTCGTGCCAGCCAGCTCTACTACGAACTAATAATTCTGCCCCACCTACTCTTGCCAAAAGCCGTGCAGTTCTTAGTAATGCTGCACACTCATCTTCGTCTTCTGTTAGGCAGTCTGCACACGGGTCGTATAGCTTTGGACGCGTATTAGATGCTACATACGAAAGTTGTACGCTTTGATGCCGCATTTAAATGGAGGGCTGTATACGAGTCGTCAGCTTCACGAATTCGTCACAGCAAGCTAGCTGCAAATCGCTTGGCGTACAGCAGTGTTGGTAGCTAGGCGTACGTACGCTTAGAAAAGAGAAAAAGAAGAAGTATGTTTACAATTTTCCTATTGCGTGCATGCATTTAAAAAAAAAATGATAAAACAATAAAATCCGTGCAAATAATGCAAAAATAACTGAAAATTAATTAAAGAAATAATAATTTTGCATCTCTTAACCTTTTTTTCCTGATCCTTTCACGCTTTGAAGTTGCTTCGTGTGCAGATCGTGAGGCGTAGAGGAATCGTTGCTGCATAAAAAATTGTATACGCGTCTAAAGCTATACGAACCGTGTGCAGACTGCCTTAATCTTTCTGCTGCTGTCACAAATGTAGTGAGTGCAAATATGACGCCGTGTGTTAACTCTTGCCCTACTTCTACTATCAAAGTTAATGCTCCCGTTTTCACATCATACTCACAAGCAGTAGAAATCGGATCTTCTGTTTCGCCGTCTGTTTCGCATGATATTCGCATGCTCTCTGCCGATAATGCTGCTAGTATCTCCAACATCTCTCTTGATGCTGCTAAGGTAAACAGTGGACAGTGGGATTCTGTGGTGAAAAGAAAAAAACAGAATAAGCAAATTCTTGTTGTTGGTACCAACGCTATTGCGGACTTAGATGTTTCGATTCGACCTAAATGGCTGCATCTGTCTTCTTTTGCAAATACTGTCACGGAAGATAATATATTAGGTTATGTAGTTAATCATGCTGGTGTGCCTAAAAACTGATTAATGTGTTATAAATTGGTTAAAAAGGATCCGCTCGTCTCAACCCTGACAAGAGTTAACTTTAAACTAGGTGTACCAGAATCGTCGTATGAAATTATTGAAGTCAGATATTTGGCCAATGAATGTGGCTGTACGCCCGTTTAGTTTTTTTCGAAAAAGGAGTGTAACAATTACAGGAAACCTAGTTAAATCTACAAATAACCACTCAAATAACAAACGCTTAACAATTTATTTTCAAAATGTTTCTGGTCTAAGAAATAAATCTGATGATGTGCCTGTATTTACCTCGCTGTGTGAATATGACATTTACGTACTTATTGAGACTTGGCTCAATGCCCAATTTTATGACGCTGAGTATTTTGATTCAAAACTGTTTGACGTTTTTCGCAAAGACCGAGATCCGATCAAAACGGGCTGCAGTAGGCGAGGCGGTGTTCTTATCACCACTCGGAGCACGCTACGAGCTGCGTTAGTAAAACTTAATGATGATAATACGATCAACTTTGTGTGCGACTTAAAAGTAATTATGATTTTATTCATACCTTTGCATCTTACATTCCTCCTGGTAGTGATAAATTTATTTATAAGGCTCATGTGGACAACATTGTTGCACTTCATAATGTAGTTGGAAAACACAAGCTTTGTGTATTAGGCAACTATAATTTAATAATTTAAACTGGTCTTATTTAGATGATAATCTATTTTTAGTTCCAACTTATGTAAGTAGTTCTGTAGAGTTATACTTAGTTGATAACTTTTTGGCCAATGATCTAGTCCAAATAAATGGTTTTCGTAATAAGTTGAATCGCATTCTAGATCTTATTTTTGTAAGTAACGATGTTAATTTTAAGATATTTTACCCTGAGTCTGCTACCTCACCTACCAATTTACATCATTCGCCATTAATACTGGATTTTGAATTTTTTTAGTTTTTTTGATATTCCTGTAGATAATTTAAAGATATCTTTTAATTATAGTCTTTGTAATTTTCAACGCTTAAATAATGTTTTCTCTGGTATTAAATGGAATGATGTTACAGGATTAGATGAGGTTGCTGATTCCTTTAAACTCTTTAAAAACACTTTCTATGACTTGTGCAGAAAATATGTTCCAATTCATACTGAGCCATCCTATAAGCTCCCTTGGTATTCGAGAGAGATCAAGCGTTTAAAGAACCTCAGAAGTAAATTCTTTAAAAAGTTTAAACTTACGTGTAAATCACAGTAGTATGAATCATTTCTCATTTATAAGAATAAATTTAGTAAGTTGAATAAATCGCGCTATAGAAACTATATTAGAAACTATGGAGCGAATATCAAAACAAACCCAAAAAGCTATTGGTGTTTTATAAAATCGAAAAAAACGTATTTCAAATATTCCGACGTCCTTTTTTTATAATGATAAAACTAACGACTCATTCTCGGCGGCAGCCAATCTCTTTACTGAGTTTTTTGCGTCGAACTTTGTTTCTGACAATGGCGATTTGCTAAATATTGATTTCTCGGATGTTTGTTATGCCAATTCTCCATTTGATATTGGTTCCCTGGTCTTGAGCGTCTTCAAAGACTGATATTGATGGGCTCAAAAATTGCCCATCGTTAATTGAGCCTCTGACAGTAATTTTCAATAAATCTCTTCCCTCTGGTAAAGTGATTGATGATTGGAAACTGACATCAATCACACCGACTTTTAAAAGTGGCAATGAAAGTGATATCAGTAATTATAGACCTATATCAAAACTATCTACGGTGTCGACGTTACTTGAATGCATTATCAAACAAAAATTGTTTTTTAATTGTGTTTTGTGACAGGAAGATCTACATTAACTACTCTCGCCGTTTTCTCTGATGATTGCTTTACTGTTTTTTAAAATGGGTATCAGGTGGATACAATCTACACGGATTTCTCAGAAGCTTTCGATAGGATTTCACATAAAATTTTAAAAGCTAAACCTTCTAATATAGGCTTTCATTCAATATTTCTGCAGTGGATTAAGTCATACCTGGGTGGCAGAAAAAGTTCTGTAGTAATTGATGGGATCTAATCCAACTCATTTGTGCCGACCTCTGGTGTCCCACAGGGTAGCGTACTTGGCCCGCTCTTTTTTTACCTTCCTTTTATTAGCTCGGGATGTAACTATGTAATATTGATGCGCCTAAAAGATGCAGCGATTTCTATTCTCAAGTTACATACCTGATGACAGTACGAATGGCAATTATAATAGGGAGGTTTTAGTTTTTTAAACTATAATTTTATTTATACTGTTTGTTAATGCTATTGGGGATTGCTTTTCGACCGTTAAGTTTCTAATGTACGCTGATGATTTGAAAATTTACTCGGTGATTAGAAACATTAATGACTCAATGTTACTTCAAGCAGAGCTTCAAAGGTTTTACTTGTGGTGTGTAAAAAATCGACTATCTCTTAACATTAAGAAATGTCATCAAATTAGTTTTGCTAAACTTCAAAATCCAATTCGTACCTCCTATAGCATCTGTTCTACCATTTTGGAATCGGTTAATGAGATTAGAGACCTTGGTGTGTACTTTGATGCTAAATTTAGCTTTGTCACACATATAAACTATACTATTTCTAAAGCCTTTTCAATGCTCGCATTTGGAGGCCTTACCATCAAATCCATATTAATCGTTTAGAGTCGGTACAGAAGGCCTTTATCCGGTTTGCTCTGAACCGTTACCTGCTTATTATTCACGTTGCCAGTTGATCAACTTAACCCTCTAGTAGGCAGAACCGCCTCCAGACGGTCGTTAAATAAACACCTTTTTAGTGCACCTATAATCATTTTTTTCTATATTCGTAAGGCGCGATCTTTAGACAAAACTCGTACCCTTACGGCGAAGTAAACTTTAATCCGTTATGTCAATCCGTTATATTTTAATCGGCAGTTTAATTATAGATTTTGAAAACACGGTTAAAATTAATTATTTCTTGCTATTTAGTAATTTCGTAATTAAAGAAATTTTTTCTTTTGACAAATTTTTTGATATAAAAAAATTCGGTGGATTTTGTTGTTAAAAGCACCGTATTTTAATATAAGTTTTATAATTATGTCACCATTCGAAATGGAGAAAATTGCTTTCGAACACAGACCGTCTACAGACCGGCTTGCCGACATATAAAACCCCAGTTTTGCATTTATGACCGTCTGCAGACGGCATTGCCGGTTCGTAGGTCAACATTGTATAAGATAAAGCTGAAACTATGTGTAAGTATATCGGCGAGCCCGTCTCCAGACGGTCTTGGTTTTTCTCCCCTGTAGGAAAAAGTTACTGTCACAGATCGAAATGGACATCAGTTTTGGATTACTCGTGCTAAAATCACCAATTCCTGAATTTTTCAACTCATAAAAAAATTGGCCTACTAGAGGGTTAATGACATTGCATAACATAGAATTTTTTTTATCAGTCTCCTTTTTGTTTGATATAGTCACTGGATTTGTTGACTGTGCTTCACTACTGTGTAAAATAAATTTTAATGTATCTTGTAAAGTCTTGCGACATATAGACCCGTTTCATATTGGCATGAGCACACGGTCAAAAATTTTGGTTTAATTTTTATACCGCGCTGGGACTACTGCCTTTTTTAATCTTTTATAGTCTACTTTTTAAACCAGTCAATAATTTTAAGCAATTTTTAATACATTCGGGTTAAATTTTAGTCCAAAAAGTTCGTGGTTTAAAAATCAAACCAAAAATGTTTGAATTCTAGTTTCTAGGTTTCATATATAGAAAACTTGGTTTAAAATCTAAACCGAGATAGAAAATGTTTGCACACAGCGAAATGTGGTGTTGAGTCATACATATGAAAGCACATTTACATGCGTGGCTGTAGCTTAGTGTACAAAGGCGCTTGATACAATTGGTTGCTACCAAGGCTGTCCGGTTTCAATCCCAATCAGACGGAGCATGAAATTTTAGAATATTTTTTTTTATTCTTAATTATGAAAATGTTTGGGTTTAAAATTTAAACCGAAATGTTTAAATGCTAAACCTAACATATAGGCTCTCTTTTTTTAAACTTGGAAGGTTTGTATTTGAGACTAAATTTAGTTTGGTCATATTTATATGTATGTAGTCCAAAAATATTAAAATTAAAACCAAAAATTTTAGCCGTGCATAACTGTATATGGTTTTAATGCTCAGATTAACAGAACAATGTTCGAATTGAATAAGCTCTGTGTTTCTTTGGACCTTGATCTCTCAATTTCTAAAGACGGCTTAAAATATCAGTTGAAATCACAAGTATGTAATAATATTGCTGTTTAGTTTTCCTAAATGTCATGGATAACTAATGTGACCAACCGTACTTCTTTCGGAAGTACACTACTTCTTTTTTCGCTCTTGTACTTCGTACTTCGAAGTACAGCCAAATGTACTTTTTTGTGATATTTCGTACTTCAGGAGCGAGATTCTGTAACTAGTTAGCGACAATTTTCAGATCGCTGTCGCACTTTTTGACGCATGATATAAATGTTTTCGCGTCAAAAGTGTGACAGTGATTCGAAAATTGTCGCTAACTGGTTACAGAATCTCCCCCCAGGTCCTGTACTTCTCCGATCTTCTGGGCGATCGCCACATGGCCGGAAAAGGCTCTCATGTTTCCCGTATGGATTTTAGGCCTAACAGTCTCTTCGTTTTTGCTACAAACGCTTTCGCTTAAAGCGCTATAGGGACTGATAGACCTGTACATAAGAAACACGATTCCTCGTGACTGTCTTTCAAGAGCTCAATATGCCTATTGCAAGAAAAGGTCGGTGAACGGGCATTCAAGAATGTCAC